GAGGCAAACAGGCTCTCTATCCCCCCCCCCCCCCCCCATCAGTCATTGGGATTCGAATTTGTATTGTCAACTGCAGGTAGGGACATAACTGGATTTTTGTTCCAGCCATGACACTGGCAGAAGTGTTTGTGATGGGATAGGCAGGCCCTTCCAAGAAAGGCTATCAAATGCTTCACAATTCCCTGTCTATGGCATTTCTTTGAATGATATGGAAGATGATGAAATCTGGATTAATTGTGCAGCTTGCAGGAATATTATGACTCTTCTAGGACGGGAAATGCTTCAGCTCTTTATTATATCCATAGAGAACACTTGGAAGGCCAACATTCTACTGAAACGTGGTATGAAAAGTACGAGAAACATTTTGGCCAGCAGGTAACAACAACCCAAACTACAACTAAGCTTCATTGGGCTGGAGATGGACTAAGTTTCAGCAGTCATTTATTTTATTTTCATGTATTTGTATCCCAGCTTTATTTTTACAAATAATTAAAGGCAGTGAACATATCCAAACACAACTTCCTCCTTCTATTTTTCCCCACAACAACCCTGTGAGATAGGCTGAGCTAGCGAGATTGACTTACCGAGGAATCAAGTCAAGCTCCTCTAACTTCAGGCCTATTCTGCAGAAATATATACTAGCATATTATAGGATTATGGTCATAGACCATTTCAAAAGTATTCACTAGAATAGTATCATTAATGAGAATAGACTTTCTATCATTACAGCATAGTTGGATGATTCTAGAAGATGCTAAAATCAGTAGAGTGAAATTAGCTTTAGCTGCTCTTAGGTCTGGTTGAAGCTAATGAGACAAGTCAATCAATGTCTCCTTCATGTAATTTGAAACTAAATATAACTAATTTAGTGGGGAAACATCCCACTGAATTCAGATGGATTTCTTATTTCTTATTCTTATTTTGTACTAAAACCATACCAGGAAATAGACAAGTCCTGTTGGTGGCCAGCAGGTTCAGCTGTGAACCAACCATATCCATTGTTGAAGGCTACTTGTGGAATGGGGAGAGCATTAGATCAAAACAAATCTGCAAAATACACAATGCTCAAAAACAGTATCAGCTTCCCTGTCCATCCCTGGTTAACCCATTTGCCATTTTAAGAATAGCCAGATTTTCTCAAAAGTTGTATTTGCTGAAATCTAGAAAAAACTTTCCATAGCCTTTAACATGAGCTTGAGAAAGTCTGGAAAACATTAGGCTAGAAAGGCTAAGCTATAACTTCCCTATCAAGCGTTCTTTCTCTATTGCTCTCTCTTGCAATGCAAAAGCCATGCAGTGCAGCCCCTTTACCAATATCAACCATGCTCTTCTGTGCCTGTCACAAATCACCAGAGGAAACTGCTCCCTTTCTTGTTTATTGGTTTTTCAGTTGGTTCACACTAAGGTTGCTTCATGTAATGGTGTCACTATGATATTGATCTTTTTGTATATTTCTGGGGCACTAGCTAAGCAAACAAAAAGGCACTTTTCTTTAATTTTTATTTAGGGGGAGAATGGGGGTGGGGACCCCTCCTCAAGTTAGCTCTGCAATTTTGGTGGACAATATAAGTCAAGGACAGGAGAAGTTTGAGTGAGAATCAGTCCCAGAATTGATATAAGGTCAAATGAAAGCAAACAAGATGGCAGGAGTAGAAAGCCAGAAAAGAAATAGCCACACTTCTATCAATCTAATCTTTATTCCTGCTTGAAAAATAGAGACATTGGCAACAGGAAAACGTCCTCAGCCTTCTTTTCCTGTTCCCATCCTTGCCCCCAACACAGCCACACCATGTACTGTAATTTCTTGTGGCTGCTGGCTACAATGGCAGACCATCGTTCTAGAGCCTGCATAGTTAGGGATTCTTAAGGGTTTGAATGAATTCCACAAGCGCTGATTAAAAAAACAAAAATAAACAAATCTTTGTGTCACCCCACAAATGGAATGGAGAGAAGAAATAGCCTCCTTTGCTCTGCTCTGCCTTTTGTGGGAGAACCAGGCTTACATTGGACTGATTTGGGGAATGGAGATTTCTTTCTCTTTTCTTTTTTCCCCTGTGTGCAGCATCAAAGAAACACTTGATTTTAGAATCATCTTCCTTTATATTAGATATATTGCATATATCTATGTATTTATGTGAGAGACAGAGATGGAGGGGTGGAGATCAAAAAAGAGAAGCATATTTAAGCCCAAGAATCCATTTAAGAATGAATACTGCCTTTAAAGGTCAAGGGTTTGATGGGTCAGTCTGCTTCTTTAAAAAAACAATTAATGGGACAGAAAATGTGTCCTTTCAGTGAACTCTCCTCATTGCCCTGGTACAATGACAGGACAATAGTAGGGTTTAAACTCCTACCCTGTAGTTTTTGGAACAATTGTAACATTAATTAGGCCAGCTAAGGTAGAAACCCAGGGCACTACCATATAACAACACAACCTCTCCTGTTCCCCCAAGTGCAACTACACATTTAAGTGACAATATGGGAAAAGATCCATAGAATAATTTTTTAAAATTACCTTGAATGGTGACAATCTGCCATATGTATTTTCCTGCCAGGTCCGATACTCCACCCTGAAAACATACACCTTCAGGGTGCAGCCAAGCAACTGTGTCTTTTATACATGAACACATTTTCCCCAAGAAAATCCTTCGGTGTCTTCGCAGACCTTTTCCAAGAGAATGCCTTTCAGAATCGCTGTTGAATTACAAAGAAGTATTTATTGTAGGAGGTGATTAATGATTCCCAGTAAAATTGCTATTTTCAGCATGATTTCATTTAGCTTTTTTTTTTAAACAGAGGGGAAGGGGGGCACACAGCAAAAAAACTGGCAAGTAAAAGAGTATCCATAATCTTTTACTTATATAGCTGATTAAACACCTTGAAGATTCCTCTTAATTTGTAAGTTTATGTAAATTAGCAGAAGAAAAATCTTCTTCCAAACAGAGTTTAGACGAAGACACTCAGCATAAAGGAGGAGGGAATCCCCCAAGTTTTCTGTGCCATTCTCTTCTATTTAAGAATTCAGGCCAAGCGTGTCTTTCAAGTTTTAAGGGAGACCCAGTTTGGGCTGTTCTGTTTGGCCTGAATTTTATTTTCATAACAATATAACATTTTAATACTGTCAATATTGTGACCCTCCCCAGCTCAGAGGAATTTTCATATATTTGAGTTAAATTTTGCCACTTTTTCTCTGATAACTCTGGAAAGGCCTCTCTACCAGAGAAAAATAACTAGAAGAGAATTAAGTTTCATTGCAGCATATTACACATTTGCCGCCCACCAGCAAACTCTGTGATGGTTGGCAATTAAGGCCTGAAGGTGTTTTGTGCTACTTAGAATAAGATCTCAAATCTATGTTTAAGTTTAAGATTTTTTTTATATGTGCACATTGTACAAATTATTCAAAATATCAGCTGTAAAACTGTTATATCAAGACATCATCCTGATGTGATAGTCGCAGCCTGCCTCCCCACATCTCTTTCTCCCTCTCCCTTCCTCTCTTTCTCTCTCTACATTATTTAGCACGAAGATACCAATTTATTATAATCCAAGAAATGCTGTGTTATTAAAACCAAAAGAAAAGTTGCCACCATTAACAAATAAACAAAAGAAATATAGAGTTACAATGTGGTGAAAAGTAAGGCTAGTGTGACAAGAATAATATTAATCAGTCCCTCCAGTGTACTAAACAATCTCTATTTCTGATTGCATAGAAGTAGTGATACATTAATACACACAAAAGACAAAGCTGAACAGGAATGGAAAAAGATTGAATTGTTTTTGCAGGATGGGTGGATTTCCATAGATATTAGTTAAACTCAGTTGCCTACTTAAGAAGATGAGTGTTACAAGTTGGGTACTTAAAAACATCCTATTTAACCCATTATCTCCACTCTAGTAATTTATTTCAATAGGACTTGCTCCCACCTCCTTGTACTGGGGTACAAGACTTGTATTCAGGTGCTAAGACTCAGGTACTGTATGGAAATCAGTGCTCTGGAAATCAGCATGACTTATTCCACCTAATATGCTTTATGTTGATTCTGAATGATACTATTGGCTATACTAATACTAAGATTCAGCCTTTACCAGCTAATGGCAAACTCAATCAATACATCTACTTGTATTGGCTACAGAGTATCAAAAAAAGCCCAGTCTTTGGAATTGCATGGTTTTGCCAGTGTGTCTAGTGCTTTTAATTTTATTTGTTTACAGAATATTCTTTATTAAATGCACTGGTCATTTATATATATTTATATTTATATATACACTGATATACATACACACACAAAACACACTTTCACAAATGGGTACATATAGAATTCACACCTTGCTCATAGATGTGGACTGTGATAAGACATGAGTATAGGCTGAGCTTTTAGAGCAACATTGGTTCATTTTTCTTAAAAAATAATAAATGCAACATTAGGGAGACTACTATCACAACTGGAGCAAGAACTACACTTAAAAAAACCTCTTGGTATATGGAAAACACTTTTTTCAGCCAGTTAGGGATGAGAGTGTATGATTGCTCTTATAAGTGTCTTCCCCTGTCCCTAATTTCCAAATTTAAACTTTAGTGAGGTCAGACCACTTTACTTCTGCAGTCTTCCAAGAGTGCAGGAACAAACATTCAACAGAACAACACAAGTCTAGGATTTACACACAAGGTCACTTATCAATACTACTATGTTGCCTCAAAACATCTATACAAAGAGTGGTTTTTAAACATTTGGTCCATCCACAACTCCCATAAATTAAAAAGAAAACTGGGGGGCAAAACCAGGACATATTTACTGTCCATAGCTTATTTACTTTTTGGTTTGAACACGCATGTGTTTTTTTTTGTCAGCACAGATTTTTATTTTACCCCTCAGCACAACAGCTTGATCCCCAGGCCAAAAGGAAAAAGAGGCAAGAATTGGAGAAATGTTAGGGGTAGCTTGGTGTCTCTCTCTCCCCCTCCCCAAGTGAGGCTGGCTATCATAGGGAGGCTGAGTTTAAAGGGGCTCTGGTTCTGGGGGTCGTGGTGGGTGATGCTGGGCTGGAGCTTTGGCTGGCTGATGGAGACCAGAATTGTTGGAAGAGCGCATCTTGGTGTTGGGCAATTTGTGATCCTTCTTCCACTTCATCCGCCTGTTTTGAAACCAGATCTTGACCTGCCGCTCAGACAGGCAGAGTGTGTGCGCGATCTCAATGCGTCTCCTCCTGGTCAGGTAGCGGTTAAAATGGAACTCCTTCTCCAGCTCCAGGACTTGTTGTCTTGTATAGGCAGTCCGAGATCTTTTGGGCTCTCCTCCATTGTAGCTGGGGCTGACTGAGCGTCCACACGTACAGGTACACGCGCACACACCCAGATGCACAAAAGAAGAAGGCAAGGGAAGGTTATCATTATTGTGCCATAAATACAATGCCGCCAGCAGGCTTCTTTTTAAAATAGGAAGAAAAGGTTTCGCAGGGTCTTGACAAGAGGGGGACAATTAAGGATCAGTAAAAATGGTGAGGGGCATTTGGACCCAAGGAGAGCTCAAAGACCTACCGCCCAGAGCCACTGCCAGAGCTATTAAATTTATGGGGGCCATAATTACTGCCTTAGCAGCTTGGCGTAGTAAATCTCTTGCTCAAGGGCCCCACTTACAAAAGGGGTCCTCACTGCTCCTTTCTTTTGGGGTTTCGATTTAAAACTGGGAAATGCGCTCCCTTTTATCCAGTGCACCCCCAGTCCGAGTCCAGCCCTAGCCCAGCCTCCGGGGACCTCGCCGCGTTCAGTCCCTGATCCCTCTGGAGGAGGCCAAACTCACCCGTGCTCACGTGGATCTTCTTCATCCAGGGGTACACCACCGGCGCCTCCTTCGCTTTGAGGCCGGGCGTGCTTTTTTCGGGCAAAAGGGGGCAGCCGGGACTACCCCCGGTAGCTGTTCCCAGAGCTGCTTCATAAGGACGCTGCTGGGGCTGAGGCTGTGGCCCGTGGCCCTGGAGCAAGGGTGGGGAGGCCACTTGATGGCCCTTCGGAGTAGGAGCTGATGAAGCCGGAGGCAGCGGCGCTGAGTGGGGTGACGAGGCTCCGGGACCTGGGTGCTCCTGCCCTGGAGGGGCGCTGAGGCTGTTGTACTCGTAGGGTGACTCGGGGTAGTGGGGGGGCTGAGTGAGGTACCGCGCCTCGGGGGTCTGCGGTGGCTGGTATCCCGGCTCTCTGCTCGGCCGCTGGTAGAAATCGGGAAGAGGCTGGCGCAGGTGCAGCTGCTGTAGTTTTGGCTGTTGCTGGGGATGATGGGGATGGGGGTGTTGGTGGGAGTGTGGAGGGTGGTAGTTGTTCCCACCGCCGCTGCCGCTGCCGCCGCCGAGCTGTGAGTATTCTTCGCAAGGTGGGAACTTGGGTTCGATGTAGTTGGAGTTTATCAAAAACGAACTCATGGTCATTAATTTGTGAAGTGCAAAAATACTAATTTTTCTCGCGCTGTCGTTTTTCTGGGCTCGAGGAGGCCCCTCCCTCCTGCCCCTTCCTCCTTCCTTCCTTCCCTCCCTCCCTGCCTCCTCCTCTCTCCCCTCCCGCCCTGTTGTCAAGCGCCTCCCGCCAAAGTTTGGGGCTCCACTCACTCCGCCCGCTCCTCCTTCTGGAATTCCCACCCCAAAAGCTCAAAGTACACGCGTGAGCTCGGATACACACAGACGCGCGCTCAAACACACATACAAACACACACAGTCGTACGTACATACAAAGAGATACATACCACTGCCACCCCCACCCCCCCACCACCTGACCGGCAGGGCCAATTGCTATGCGGTTGGCAGAGCCCGGATCAGGAAATAGCAGGAAGATTCGTTGTGCGATGATCCTATGTGCGTTTTCCCCGCTCAGGGAAGAAGGGGTGCAATTCGATTTTATCTGGTAAAATGAGCAACGCAGGACGGGTGGAAGGAAGGTCTCCAAAAACCGGTTTTTTTTAAGTTTTAAAAGGCTATAGAATGAGTTGACCCTAAGGCGGTCCTGCAAATGCAAGTTGGCAGAGGTTTGTGGGTTCTGAAATCCTAATTTATTGGTTTAGGAACCTTTTTTAAATCCAAGTTCACTTAATCGCAAACCGGCTGGCTTTCTGGGATGTGGAAATTCAAGTAATAATCTGTAGAAGACCCCCTTACCGTTTCTGTAATTTTTAGAGAGAAAATTCAGCAATTAAGAGCTTGGCTGGAGATTCTAAATCTGTATCCCATCAAGAGAAGGAAACAAAGGTGATCTATATTCTAGATTTATTGTTCTTCAATACAAGCTATGGTGTGAGTATGTGAACACAAACAAACACACACACATACACGGAGGAATTTTGGCTATTGCAAAATTCGTTCTGCAGAAGTTGCCCCCACCCCCCACCCTCCAGGCACAATTGTGCAAGCAAATCTTTGGGCATGTGGTTTTTTCCTGCATCTATTCTTCTCCTATTCCGTTTTTTTGAAAGGATAATTAAACCAGCTAAAAATGGGAATGAACAACATGATGTATTCAGTGAATTTTGGAATATTAATAAAGGATAAGGAATGGTAGTAGAGTAATCAATGAACTTATTAAATAGTAAGAAAGGCCAAGTAATTGCAAAGAGCTATTTGTTTCCTTCTGATCCTTCTCCACGGCTTTCAGAAATGTTGTTTTTACTGTAATTTACTTATTCTAAATACCCAACTCCCCTTGGCAAATCTAAAATGGCAGGTCGTTTTTTAGAGATGCAGATATGAAATGATAGACAAAATCAAACAGAAGTCCAATTAAGTATAAGAGCAGTTAAGAAATATTAAGTCATTCCTGCAAGTATTAATACCGAAGCATAGAAATTCAAGAAGTTACCAGAAACCCAGTTTTCTTTGAAGCCCAGGTGACTTTTTGGATGAACAAACCTAGTTTTTTTTTTAAAAAAAAGCCTTTCACCAATATGAAAACTATTGCCTTCATGTGAGAGAAATATGTTCTATCACTGCTGAAAGTTTTTTTTTAATCTCTGCCATCTCTGTTGAAAACAAGAGGAATAAGGAAGCCAATGCATAAATTGTGATGTCCTAAATCTGTTTGACCAACACATAAGCATAGCGAGAGGCCCTCTTCCTTTATCATTACAATAGGGGAGCAAGCCTATTTCCTTGAGAATAAATCATAGTGAATCCATGGGAGTTTCTAATGAATGGGCAGGTATAATATACCACAAAAAGTATGCTGCTAAGATAACATTTTGAAGTATTATCCCACAGGTAAACTTGTGTTCTACCCTTTGCTTTAGTTTCTAATTTGTCTCTGTTTTTATCAGATTTCTTAATCCGCAGACAAGGGACAGTTGCCCCATTATTTCACTGCAAATGTAGATTTCTGTGATTATATTTACCTTCCATGAGCTATGGTGGATAAATATAATGATTGCTTCCAAATTAAAATCCTCTAACCAAATCTTTTGAAGTGGAATGGAGGCTAATGTCCCAGCATTATTCTTTCATTAAGAGGATTTTATTACTAAAATTATCATATCTTTGTTGCATTTCCTCCTTCCAACCTCATTTCCCCGTTGCCTCTTTTCTTTAACACCTGTGACCTATAAAATCAAAGATTAGGTTTTCGGCTAATACCAGAAATATGTCTTCTCTGCAATTTCACTTTTAATCATCTCCAATCAACTTTTTGTAAAGCATTTTTTCTGGCATGCTTTACCTGCAGGAAGGAGTCAGGTGTCATTTCCTGGGAATAGGCCATAAAACACTTGGAGGCAATGGAGGCGACCCTACCACTGGATTCCAAAGGGAAGAATTTTTTTCCTCCCTGTTTTTTTCTGACTTCTGTTTTACGGTTTAAATGGGAGTGAGAGTGGAAGTGTAGATGTTCCCAGTGTAGAGGTTGGGTATAGGGAGGGTTAGGGTTGGGGTTATTCTAAACTGTTAAGGCCCTAACCCTGTGTAGGGGTCAAATTGGAACCGAAGCAAGTCTGCAGCTGCAATAAGCAACTCTGAATAGGGGAGTGTTTTCTTCAAATAAAAGCTCCCTCCCCAGGACCTGAGTTTGACTAGAACTATTGAAAAACTATGACTCCCTTTAATAACAACAACAACAACAATAATAATAATAATAATAATAATAATAATAATAATAATAATAATAATAATAATAATAATAATGCGTGGAAAGCAGGTACCTTTTTTCTGTCTGCTGAGGATGATCTGGGGAGAATGTCCCAAGGGCTGCTTAAGATTAGTGCTCCTGACTGTCTTCCTTTCACTGCCTTCCACTGGATGCCTTCTTTTGCTCAACTCCATAGAAATAAAAATGGTTTTATTCTGCGAGCCCCCACCCCCCAAATCTCCAAGGTGACCAACGCCGATCAGCTCAGCCACTGCATGGTTCTCAAGCGATTCCCCCACATACTCCAGAGATGGGCCTGTTCCTTGTCTTGATGGTTTCGCTATCATATCATAAACAAGAGCCGGGCCAAGACCACCAAAGATTATCTCTCCAGCAGCAGTTTGCACATCCCCCACCCCTATGTCACCAGAGATTTATGCCCTGTTCCACAGACACACACATTGGATCCAGAAACCTGGCCTAGCCAGTATTAAGCACCATTCTCCTCAGTAACACACCCGCACAGTCTTTTGGGGAGATAAAGATGATTCCACCCACAAGGGAGCTCCCCTGACCTCCAGATCAAAAGTTCTACAAGTAGTTGGTTTGAGCTAGGCTGGACTGAGGGATAATCTAGCTGAAATTGAAGAAGAGAGGAATAAGGGATCTTTCACAAGAGCTGATATTGGAGGAGCAAAATGGCAATTTTATCTTCCTTTGATGATCACTGACTAGAGAAGAGCAGTGTGTATCTGGAGCAAAAACATGTACGCACACACACACACACAGAGGTTTTGTCTTGCCACATGTGCCTGGAAGAGAACACGAAAGGAAAAGATGGCTGATCAACAAACCCAGCACCCTCCCTTGCCAATGATTTGATACATTTTGAGTATATTTAACCCAGCTTTCCTTGTTCAATGCATCCCTGCCACAAGTTTCAAAGTAACCGAAAAGTGACACTGGGCACATTTTGTTTCTTATTAATCTTCCACATTGACAGTCTTTGTTAAATAACAAGGCGTGCCCTTTACCAAGCGACATTTTCATATTTGTTAGACAAGTTGACCTGAAGTTCACCTCGGCCTTGGACTTAGGTTTTTTTTTTTTCCAGGAGATCTCTGAGGGTGTCTCTTTTAAAAAGGGGGGGAGTGGGAGGCTTTGGTTAAATCTTTTATTCCTAAATGGGAAAGATCCTGAAATTCTTCTAGGAGAAAAATGTAATATTTGTGAAATGTAGGGACTATATTTGCCTTTCATTTTCTAGAATTAAAAAAAAAAAGCTCATTAAAAGGAATTTCTTTGAAGCTCAGCATTTGACAGTTGGGTTTTGACACTGGAAAAAATGCTAGTTGAACATATACATTTATCTGTAAGAATTTTCATCATAAGACTTCTAGGAGAAAAATGTAATATTTGTGAAATGTAGGGACTATATTTGCCTTTCATTTTCTAGAATTAAAAAAAAAAGCTCATTAAAAGGATTTTCTTTGAAGCTCAGCATTTGACAGTTGGGTTTTGACACTGGGAAAAATGCTAGTTGAACATATACATTTATCTGCAAGCATTTTCATCATAAGACTTGACTGTTTCTAGTCTTTGTATTCTTTTGACAGTTATTCTTAAAAAAGAATCTGAGTGTTGGAGATACATATTGAGCCAGAGCCAGTGTAGTCTAGTGATTAAGGCAGCAAGCTAGAAACTGGAGACCGTAAGTTCTAGCCCCACTTTAAGCATGAAAGCCAGTTGGGTGACTTTGGGCTAGTCATTCTCAGCCCAATTCACCTTACAGGGCTGTTGCTGAGTGGAAAATAGAAGGAGTATTATGTAGGTTCACTGCTTTGAGTTATTTATAAAAATAATAAAGACATTATTAAAAAGAAAAGAAGGGGTCAGTAAAATTGTTCTTTGCAACCAGAAAAAAAATGAGAATTAAGTTATCTTAATTGTGCTGAATTCCAGGGCTGGGGGTTGGTGTTATATGCATTATTCACATAAACATACAATCTGTCTTTCGTTCTAAATTTATCCAAGGTAGACAAAAAAGCTTTTAAAATTGTTCCCCCCCCCAAAAAAAACACAATTTGAAAAAAGAATGCTGATTGCCTTCAAATTCCACCTTAAGGCAAAAGTAGTGGAGAAAGGAGAAAGGCAGGTTTCTGTTTGCCACTTTTTACAAAGCTCTGATTCATTAAACTAACAGTTGTTTTAAATAAAAAAATCCAAAGACATCTACCATGTTCTGTGGGTAGAGAAATTATATTCAGGTCCTATTCTGCCTTCCAGATTTTATGCTATATGCAGTTATCTGGAGGTAAGGCCATTGAAT